TTTCCGATGCTGGGAGGAGCCAGCAGCGGTGTGTTAAGTAGCAGGGTTCTCTCTTAAAATGGTGTCAAACGAGTCAAGGCTTCCCATTGGTATCTAAAAGGGAGTGACCACAGGTCAGCATCCGAGGAAATCCGCCGGCTCCTGATGCAGGGACAGGAGAGTGTGCCTCCGGGGCAGCGGTGACCTGACGCGCCCCGTGGGAGCCGTGGTTGGCATTATCACACTGGGGTAGCCATGCAATTAGGCAGCTACAGGTTCTTACGCTGGGGATCGGGAAACAGAACAACTCAAAACTATCCACTTAACTAGTTTTGTTTAAAAACAAAACCAAACCAGCTAGTGGACAAGGAAAGCCACAGGCCAGTAAAAGGCACGACTCTGTGTTAGGGGTTCTGCATCCAGTCCCTGCGCAGCAGTGCAGACGAGCTGCATTTTCCCAGGGCCCCTCTGTGGGGCTTGGTAGGATACAGGGCAGCTGCAGCCCAGGGAGACAGCCCACGGGGAACAGAGAGGAAGGAGGACAGGCACAGGCAAGCTCAGTGTCAGAGAGCTCTGGGAACGTGAAGTTCTCCAGGCTCACACAGAGAGCCGACGAAACAACAATGAAGCCGTCAGGATCTGGCCGTCGGGGCGTCGGCCAGCCAGGCCTGCAGTGCTCACGGGCAGGACACGGTTCCTCATAGAGACATCGGGCGGCCTGAGAGACCCTCCCACCCAGCGACCCCTCCTGCACCCCCCAACACCCCCACATGCCTGAAGGCTCGCCACACGCTGACAACAGCTGGGAGAGATGCCGCATTAAGCTGCTGCTCTTCATTTGCTCCCAGAACCGATTTCTCAGACTGGCTGGTCTAAGTGAAATAAGACCAGGTCAGATATACTTTGATGTGTCTGGTGAAAGGGGATGTACTACATCCACAAAGAGATTGAAAGTGGTGAAACCAGCAGTTTTTGTTGTAATGGAAAAATCCCCAGGTACTGGTTAAAGTATATATTAAGGTGTTTAGTCCTGGCCAGTGGTTATATCGTCAGCCTGCGCCCTAAAGGGTCATGGGTTCAATTCCCCCCCAAGGGCACGTGCCTGGGGTGCATGTTTGATCCCCAGCCTTGGGGGGGGGGGGGAGCATGTGAAAGGCAACTGATTGATGTGTCTCTCTCACATTGATGCTTCTCTCTCTCTCCCCCCACCAACCTTTTTCCCTTCCACTTTCTCTAAAAGTCAACTGAAAAAATACCCTTGGGTGAGGAGTAACAAAACAATGTATATATTAAGGGGTTTTGTTGTCAAGAGGTCACTGATCTGATGACCACCCCAACCTCGGAGGCCAGTGTACAGCTGCCGCAGTCTCGCCCGATGGAATCAGCCACCAACTGAAGCAAGTCGAGTCACTTCGCCATCTGGATAAACGTCTAACCTCTTCTTGGGGACATGAATGTATATGTTTCACAAGGGCCATGATGCCTTTAAAAGCAATTTCAAATACCACGTGTGGGCAGCTCTCAGTAGGGGGGTGTGCCACTGGCTCCTGGGGCCTCTCTTCTGAGTAGAGCACTGTGATGTGCAGATGTAATGCCATCTAACAGCCCAGAATTCCAGACTCCCAAACCCCGCCCAGGTGCATTCTGAGGGTGGGGCACCAGGAAAGCATCCCAGTGATTATTTTGCAACAAAGGTTTGGGGCATTTTAGTCTAGTAGATGAGAAAGGCATGTAAACAAGTTATTCCTACAAAAACATTCTTAGGGGGAAAATAAAGTTCGATGATTTCCAGAAACAATATCCCAATATCCTGATGTCCCTGTGTCTGCCCTGACGTCCAACCTTCTGGATACCATGCCCAGCTGCCCTCATTGATCTGGTTCACAGCATCCTACTACGTAGAGCACTGTTTACCTTAGATGCATTTTATAATGGCTGCTTCCTGCTGATACATAAAGGAGAAAGAGGGGGAAACCAAAATTTACCGCGTACCAGCCAACATGTTGGGCCCTGAAATATATTGTCATTCACTCTCACATCAATCATACAAGTAG